TCCAGGGAGTCCAGAGTCCCAACCTCTCCAGTAGCCGCCGCATCAAGGATGGAGTTCGAGCCTCGATCTGCCATTGCCAAGGGCGGGCAGCGATGCACAGATCGCCCCTAAATCGCCCCGAACAACACAGACCTAGGTCAACCCACCACAAGATAGCTCGGCAAGGAAGACGGAGAGGGGGAAGAAAGCAGGGAGAGAGCGACCGGAATCGCAGTTCCAGACGAAGAATCCTCCAAGGAAATCAGTAGCGGGGGCACCTGGATGTCCTAGGGGAGGGGAACAGAGCAGGAACAGAGGAACGGACCCGCCCCTCGTCCATAAGTGTGAAGTGACCATTTCATGCCACAGAAGCAAGTCATTTTCGAGATGGAAATCACAAAGCGCCACTGCATTTTCCTAGCACTATAAAATTAAGACACATATTTGATGATATGCATTTATCATAGTAGGTCACGTTTTCTTTCATTCATATACATCCGTGACGGTTTTATGACAAATACAAGATAGTTATACATGTGATGTCATAAATGTGTTTCATGACAATAATCACTTTTTCATGATGAAAGTGTGCACTTCCCTGACAGAAAATTGTGTGTCATCAAAATGTGGCGTCAAGGGTAACCGACAGGTGGCAGCCATCTTAACGGGCCGCCCTTAAAGTATCAGATGCAGATTCCAGACCCAATACCCAATAACGACGTCGAGCATTCATGATCCTCCATGCGGCGTCTTCACTAAATATCGAAGGACCACTTCCACTAGGTGAAACTATTTTGGAGACACTTGAACCTTGCGCACATGCAGACACTTAACATGATAATCTAGTCTAGATGCACAAAATACAACAAAGAGGCAATCATGGAACCAGAGCCATAAAGTATTTGGTCTACAAGTTTAGCATCCTCATTTAGGTCGAGATGACAATTGTACTACAGTGGAGTGTGTAGGCTTTTTGCCTTGTCCATCTCGAACTTCTTCAACATGTGGCATGTGGCGGCGGCTGAATGCATCACTTGACGCGCTTCTAGGCCACAAAAGCAACCTTAGTTATTTTCTAGAAGATCTTAGTGCATCTCCAACAGACGCCCAATATCAGCGCCGCGCTCAAAAAATCACAAGTCTAGCGCGCGCGGAGTTAAATATAACACTCTAGCGGACGCTGCATAATAGAGCACGCTCTAAAAAGTGTTCAGCGTGCCGGATGAAACTGGACTCGAAGCTGTATATTTGGGGCGTGAGCTCGAGCGCGCTGAACTTCCCACGCACGTTGGAAAAGTGTCCCGTGCGCCCTTGGCCGTCGGCCTCCTCGCGTGCGCCTGTCGCCAGCCTCCTCGCGTACGCCCGCTGTTGGCCTCCTTGCGTGCGCCTGCCGCCAGCCTCCTCGCGTGCGCGCGCCAGCCCGCCAGCCGGCCACGAGTGGCGGGGCGCGGGCACGGTCACGGCAGGGCGGCCGGCCACGGGAGGTGGGGCGCGGGCGCGGCCACGGCGGCGGCCGGGTAAGCAGGTCACGGCCACGGCCATGGGCGGCGGGGCGCGGCCGCGGCCACGACCATGGGCGGCGGGACGAGCAGGCCGCGACGAGGTGAGCAGGCCATGGCCACGGTGGGGCGAGCAGGAGAGGAGCGCGGCCACGGCCACGATAGCGAGCAGGCCACGGGGCGGCGGCGCGTGGCCATGACCATGGCGGCGAGCATGCCACAGGAGGCGAGCTGGGTACGGGCGCGTGTAATTAATTTGGGCGTCTTCGCCGCCCGTGGCCATGACCATGGCGGCGAGCTGGGTACGGTCGCGTGTAATTAATTTGGGCGTCTACTGGAGATGTAGCTTGGCAGTATATTTTTGGGCGTCTGCTGGAGATGTTCAGTTATCTGGCGTGCTAAAATGATATTTTGGCGCTGTAAATTGTTTTAAGCGCGCGGCTTCGTAGGGCGTCTGTTAGAGATGCTTTTAGAGCATCTTCAACAGGCGCCTAACACGCGGCGCGCTAAAATCTGGTTTGCGGCGCGCCCATCGCCAGGTTTGACGCGGCGCGCAGCGCTGGCTCCAACAGCCGCGCTAAAATGCAGCGCGCACGCAGCTCCAGCAGTGCGCTAAAATGCAGCGCACGCGATCAGCCGCGCATCCACATTTATTGCATTTTATCTCACAACACATCCACAAAACAAAGGCATGGCATAGAATTTTTAAATCACAAACATAATTCAACCAAGTTTAAAATGAATAGTTCGATTTATTACAACTCATCAAACAAATAGTATTTTTCATGAGAAATACAATAAATAGTTCAACAATACAACATCAAACGCACAAATCATGATGCTCTTTGGCGGCCATTCCAAGCCCGCCACTCCTCAATGAGATCCTTCTTGAGTTCATTATGCGCTGCCGGACATTGAATGGCATGATAGGAGGCAACAAAATGGGCCACCCTTTCAACCCTCCGCCGCACTCGCACGGGATGTCCCAAGAGCTCATAGTGAGAGTAGTCTACATCTTAGCCACGCTCATTCTTGATGATCATGTTCTGCATGATCACACAAGCATGCATTATCTACCAAAGCATTTTCGGATCCCAAAATCTTGCCGGTCCTCTCACAATAGCAAATTGGGCTTGCAAAATCTCAAAAGCTCTCTCCACATCTTTTCTAGCCGCCGCTTGAGCATTGTGGAAATCAAGATATTTCTTACCTTCCGGTTTTTTCACCGGCTTCACAAATGTTTGCCATTTTGGGTAGATGTCATCCGCAAGATAGTAGCCATGGTTGTATGTACGACCATTAGCTACAAACTGCACCGGTGGCAGTTCATCATTTGCAATCTTACTCATCGGTGGTGACCGGTTGACAACGTTGATGTAATTCAAAGATCCAGGCATTCCAAAAAAGCATGTCAAATCCAAGTCTCTTGACCGCCCACCGCTTCAAGGATTATAGTGGAACCCTTTTTTATCCATGGAATTGGCCATGCCATGCCTTTGGAATTCTTCCAACTCCAATGCATGCAATCTATTGAGCCAAGAATACTTGGGAACCCGCGAGCTTTGTTCATCTTCAATAGCCTTGCGACGTCTTCTTCATTGGGAGTTCTCAAGTACTCCGGACCAAACACTTGCACAATTCCAACTGCGAAGCGCTTGACACACATGATGGCTTGGCTCTCACCCATGGCCAAGCGATTATCAACTAGATCAGTGGGGATACCGCATGCCAACATACGCAAAGCGGTTGTCACCTTCTAAAAGGTGCTATGCCTGAGCTCTCCGGCTGCATTCCTCCTCTGCTGAAAAACCCGGTCATGGCTCGCTAATTTCTTTGCAATGCGCTGAATAACTCGGTGCTCATCCTAAACCGGCGATGAAAGTACGACTCTGGGTATGTGGGATTCTCCACAAAATAGTGCCTCATCAATCTATTGTGGGCATCAATCATATCCCTCCAAATTTTTTGCCGACCCATAACCGAACCACCATGCTTCGGTTTTTTATTGATGTGCATAGCTAGGATCATTGCAAGATCCTCCTCCTCTTCCATATCAAATTCTTCTTCGGAAGAATCATATGACGAACTCATATAAAATGTTCAAAACTAGGCTATAAACAACATGCACCAAATTTCATGCAAAAATGTGAAAGTTGGAAGCAATACATACCTTGCGGGCCTTTTGTCGAACACCTTGCGGGCGCCAAGCGGCGGTGGGCGGACGGACGCTGTTCGTCGGAGACTGCCGCGCGCGACGGGAGGCACTGACTAGAGAGAGAGGGAGGAAGTCGCGGCCGCGCGGGAAGAGACCGGGGAAGTGCCGGAACGGTCGCCGGAAAAATGGGGTGGCGCGGGCGGCGGCGGCGGCGGCGCGGTTGGATGGGTAGGTGGAGTTGCGCGCGAGCGCTCGAGAGTCAAGCGCGCGGGAGCGGGCGCAACAAATAAACGTCGCGCGATGGCGTTTCCGCTCGCGCGCTGAATTACATATGCCGCGTGTGCGGTTTTTGCCCGTCCGCTGAAGCGCCGAGAACGGTAGCGCGCGCTAAAACCACTACTTTTTCCGCGCGGCGCGTTTATAGCGCGGCTGTTGGAGATGCTCTTAGTTATTAGTTGCTCTCTTGAAAAGGAGAAGAAGTCGCCTTGCTTGACGTGAAGAAGAAAATGATCCGGTCCACCGGTCCACCAACGCTTCTTTTTAGACAATCCAGCCTAGTAGCTTTTTTTAGGGAAGGCTTTACGGCTAGCTTTATTAACTTTTTAAATAATGCTTACATCATCCGCAAGTAAATCTAAGATAAAGCCAGGTGGGACGTCCAACCACAAAGACGGTGGATCATCCCGACCATGCTGAGCTAGCGTATGAGCTACCGTGTTTGATTCTCTGTTACAAAATTCAAAAAGAACCTTTCCGAAATCTGTGCATATTTGCCGACATTCATCCAGTATAGGGTCAGCCACCATAGAATGACCAGTATTGTTCGCCATTGCATCCACAATTGTGATGTTATCCGCCCGGGCGACGATGGAGTTTGCTCCCACCGACCGAGCTAGCTTCAAACCCTTAAGAAGAGCTGCCGCCTCCGCTGATTCAACGTCACCGACATGCTCCAATTTCACCGTGGAGGCCGTAATAAAGAAACCAGCGCCGTCACGGATAACTGCACCACATGATCCAGAGTAACTGTCTTCTATGAAAGAAGCATCTGTATTCGGAACTAGCTGGCCAAACAAAGGTCTCTTCCAGATATTAGTCCTTGTGTTAACTGCCTTTTGTGTTGCTGCTCGAACAACGTTTAGGGCAACAGCTCGTATCCGGCCTAGTAGCTACACGGCGGGGAAAAAGCATCAGGCAAGACGGACGGTGCACTGGCTATGAGCATTATATAGGTTTTGCGCGATTTAGGAGAGGCGAAGCCATCATATCCTGGGCCTAGCAGGCCCATCTCCCTTCCGCAATGCATTTTGGCTTGAGCAACAAAAAAAAAACTCCACCGGTAAATCAAAAAACTCATCGTCGATCAGATGGCGATGCCGCAGAAGAGGCGCCGCCGCCGGAGGAGTCCTCTTCAGGAAGGAGTGTCCCGCCGGCGCCCTGGTGAAGATGGCGCATCGTTGTCTGGATCCCTTGTCGATTCGGATAGCAGCAGCAGCCGTTTGGACGGAGGCTCTCCGCCGCCCGGACTCCCCGACGAGCCTGTTACATCCTCAACAGAGTCAAGGTACCATGAAATCATCGCCTCGCGCCTCGCCCAGTTGCAATTACCAGTCGGCGACGACGGCTCGGATATGGCCGGTTTCTCAAATCTCCCTTCCATTGAAATCCTCGAAGTCCTTGCTCGTAAATCTTTCCACGATGACTATTCGCGAGCTGCTCTGCTAGAATACCAATGCCAGAAGTTCTTGAACGAGACCCAGGGACGAAATACAGATTCTGGAGAATCTGATTCGGCCATTGTTGATACGGGTTCCACTTACACTGAACCCGGCGATGTTATCACGGAGGTGGAACACATGAGAGACTGTGAACTACTAGGGGCTGCCATGGATGAAATTGACACTTGGACCAAACTGGACCAAGAGCAGGCCAACAAGCTCCATCTCAAGTATGCACTCTATCGCATCAAAGCTTGCCTGGTTAGTTATATTAGTCCCATATATCGATGCTCCTATCTGTTCATTAATCTATCATACATTACATGGAAAATTATGCCCACTCTCTTATGTGCCTACTCCATCCATCTGTGTAGCTGTTGAAAGGAAAGCCGGTTGACGAGCTGGATGATGATGTTGCATTGGAACGCAAGTACCCTCCAGAGCTTATCGTGAAGAACAAGTACTTTTTTCACTATGAGGATGACCTCTTTGGTTGGTATTTTGATGCCGAACTCTGTTACAAAGCGTCCTTGAGCGACTACCAGCGGCTAGTCCTTTTAAATGATGTAAGTGTTGTCGTATTCGCTGCATTTATTTCTGTAATGCATCTACATTTAATCTGTACCCATGCACTCAGTAACCAGTTTCTTATTGATTTTCCCTTTGAATGGACAATAGCAAAAAAAAAAATACTTAATAAGAATGTGACTTCTTGTGGCATGCCGACTGTTAAGTGAGTAACCACTCAGTGTAAGTGGCATTAGTTTCTTGGAGAAACTCAACACCTAAATTAAGAAAAGAGCAGCATCTGGAGATTAAGCAAATATTAGAATATGGGTGCTTGCAATAAGTTGTGGTAAAATATGATAATACATGCAATCTACAACAAAAGAAAAGCGAGACCTTTTTTTAGTGGGGTTTTCAATTAAAAAACAAACAGAGATTAATTTTTAATTGTTATTTGGATGGAACAAGTCCTAAAACCTCAATTGGGTATTCATGCTATAGGCTGCTCCAAGAATACAACTACTATCCTGTTTTTGTATGCATATACAAAGTTTGCCCGTTTTTGCAAGTCCCCATATATTTTTGACATGTTCGAGTACTATGTGTTATTTAGGTCTTCTTGAACTGCATAAGTACTCTATAATCAATACTCATAGGAGCATCCCGTTCACTTATGTCCAGTGCTTGTTATTCTCAGGGCAGCTGTACCATGTTGTTTTATTTGGGTGCAGGGTGATGAGTATTCGAGTTGGAGAAGATACCAAACATTTTATAGCACCCCTGAAGCTGATAGAGATTATCTCAGCTACTGGGAAACAATTGCGAAGGAACTTAAAGTATGCCTTCTGCAATAATCAGCTAGTTCAAGATTAGAACTTTGATCAGTATTTTTGTTTTCTTGGACTAACAACGTTTGTTCTTGACAGTGGCTTGAGCAGTATCTGCTGACAAACGAGTCTTCTATCGAGGTATGCATATTTGACCTCTCAAAACCATGGAATCGCAAAAAATCTCTATATAAATATTGCAGCACCACAATAACTTTTCTGTTCTATTATTTGGTGGGCGCATAAACATTCAAAGGCTACGTTCCAAGCAATTAGGATCGCTTCTAAGTTTCCCTGCATGACCCTGAAACTTGCAGCTGTTGGTTTACATGTATGATTCCTCTGTCCTTTGCTCAGTCAGATGTTCGGCCCTAGTTATAGTTGTGCCTAACAATTGCATCCTTTCGATTCAATTCAGGAGTATATATGGAATGCGCGCATACATCTCATGTTTGTGAAAGATCTTGATGGTATCTTGTATAATATTTGGAGGCGGCTCAATGCGGATCATCAGGTCAGCGCTACACGTCAGCCTTTTCAAAACTCAACATTGTTATTTTCACTGATGATTGTGTTTTGTGAATACTTGCTCTCTACTTATGCTTGGCGATGTTGTTTATTTTCCCCTGGACAATGTTCAGCTGCGTTTCAGAGATGCTCTCAAGCAAGTTTATGAGGCTAACTTGTTTCCAGCACACGACCGCAGTATGAAGTATGAGCTGGAGTACGGCGATTCCAAAATGGACCTAGTAGTAGGTTCTTTGTTCAACAGACATTTTATATGTGCTTTCTTTTGTTATAAATCAGCACATCTTTTACAATTCAAATTGATTTGGTCTTCTTTCTTTGTAGTTTGTTAAGTGCACGACGGGCCTTAGTGACGGTGTAAGTATAGTATGGTGTTGTCTTAGCATCCATTGGTCCCTGTTATATTCTCGTGTGTGATTTCTTTCTTTCATGTCCCTAGGTTCCAGAAGATAGAGCCCGTGAGCTGATTAAACAGGAAATTCGCTGGACGGTATGTTGGGTAGATATTGTCAAACAACATTGTATCCACTTGCAGTTTTGTATGTAATATATAGCTTACTCTTTCCATTTTCAGCGTGAGTCGTCAGGAACGTATGAGCGGTACGCCAGGAAGAAGCTCAAGATTGCAGAACTGATAGGATTAATTCCCAAGGACAAGATAGCAACTGCGTAGTTGCGTTTGTTAAGATAGCAGATGTGTAGTTGTGTTGGTAATGTCTTGGCGCTGGTTCCATAAAGACCCCAGGCTGCATTATTCCTAGCAACGCCTGTTAGGTACCTTATGTATGGAAAAAAAATCAGATCTTGAATTGACTAGCTATTGTATGGAAGAAATTCATCTTGAATTGAATAGTTGTGTCTTGCATTTACTACGTGCGTACCTAGAGCAAATTGTTCAAATGCCATCATGAAATGAAAAAATCCAATTGATGGAAAATCCTCATTGAGACTGCGAAATTCAGGAACGCTCGCGACATGGTTTAATTTAGGAACTCCGGTTCATCTTGCCGCAGAAGAAAGCATCCTTAACAAACAAACCAATCGCTTATCCCCCATTTCTCTGTAGGACCGAATCCAAATGATTTTAAAATGAGAAAAAAAATCAAAACTATATATAGAATGTGTCGTTTCTGTTTGAGCAAAATGGGAAACCCTACTGCGTCGCTGTTGCCCACCCTTGCTTGCCGTTGCCCCCGGCCATGCCGCAGTGACGCCGGCCCGGCCTTTGAAGGTGGTGGGGAGATCTCGCGGTGGACGCGGATAAGCCAGTGGTCGAGGCAGGCATGCTGCTGAGGCCCTTCATGGCGGCTGTTCGACGTGGCAAGCGAGGAGTAAATAGCAAAAGACTACCGCATTATAGGCTATGTCTAAAAAAATATCACTTTTCTTAATCTTTCAAAAAGCTACCACAAATTTGGTTGGCTGTTCTAGAAAACCCTAATTGCAATTTGATTAAATTTTAATCATGCTTATGGCAGCTGGGTCCCATCCATAAGTGAATCGTTTGTTTGACTGCTAGTTTGACTGTTCATTTACACATGGGGCCCACATGTCAACATGTCATTAAAATTACCAATGATAAAAAAGGAAATTCAGAAATTCCCCATCTCACCTCCGCACATCAGTCGGCTGGCTGCTGGGGGCGGCATGCAGCACTAGCGGCGGCCAGCGCTAGAGCGCATGTCTCGAGGCGTTGCTCGACGACGGCGGCCATGTCCACCACGGAGAGCGCCATAAACGAGCTCGGATGCGTGCTATGGCCGCCGCTAAACACGGCCGGCGCAGAGGGACTCGATTGTTTTTTTTCAAATTAACAGCGGCCCGATTGCTTTTTTGCAGAACTTGCAGGGACCGATTGCCTTATTTTAGGGACCGACATGTGGCTCCTGGTGTCATAACGGTCAACTAACAGTCCAATATAATGGTGACCTGTCATAAACACGATTAGTATTTAACACTTCAGCAACTAGTTTTTTTTTAAAGCAGCCAACCAAATTTGTGGTAGCTTTTTAAAAGATTAAGAGAAGTGGTAATTTTTTGTAGACATAGCATGTAAGAGCAAGTACAATAGAGTGACATAAGCAGGCTATAAGAAATAGAATAATATATCTTTACTTAGTTGGAAGAGGGAGAAGAGGAGAGAGAAGAGAAGCGGCCTCTTAGTTAGTAGTCGGCTGCAACACGAGACGCAAGATGCTTTGTGAGGATGTAAGGTGGGCCAACTATTGATAAACTAGTACATATTTAGAACTTACTATTGTACATGCGGCAAGGCTGGGTATCGTGTGCATGTGTGGGACTGCGACGGTTATGCCGCCGCGAGCATCGTAGCTTCTCGGACATCATGACTGAGGATCTACCTACCGCAAGCTTTCAAAGAGGTACAGCCTTGGCATCATCGCTGATGGGACTACCAAGAGGGAGTGGGTTCACTAACAGGTGGGCCCCATGCTATATGAGACTCATGTGTCAGTAACTCAACGGTAGAACAATCCACATCAAGGGATCCTCATCCGGGGGTTGTTGTGAGAGGAGTTAACATATCGCATGTATTCTGTTTATATTGTGAAATAAATCCAGGAATAAATGCGAGCACATGTAATCCATAGGCGGGGGAACTCAGATTATTGTGGTTTGTTTCGTACTTTGTCTATCTCGAGTTACTTGTCGCATAAATGAATACATCTAAGGCCAACTCCACCGCGCGACCCCAAACGGACGTCTGTTTTGTCCGAACTCTGTATGTTTGGGTAGGGCAATGGGGTCGTGTCCGGGCAGTTTCCGGGATGCGGTGGCCGTGCGCCCAGCGCGCGGACGCATCCCGGCCGCATCTTGTCCGCGTGCACATTTCTTTGCAAGTCCTTAACTTTTTTTCATCATTCATTTTTGGTACATGACAATACATCATCACATTTTGACTAGTAAAGCAAGGCCAAAGAAAACAAGAACCACAAGAATACATTTAAGAAGATACCCAACTTCCATAACTGCTCCCTTGAATTGGGTTAGGGCCTTCTCGATGCACTCATTGTTGATCTGTGGAGGAGGCTCGACGTTGCACCCTCCTTTCTTCTTCAAGCCAGAAGTCAATGTTGCTTCCTCGCACGTAGTATCGTGCCTAGCCTTTAATCTAGCAACAAGTGCACTTGTCTCATCTACAGCCTCTAGGCTAGCTAAAAGTGCACGAACATGTATTAAATTTCGCTCTATCAATATATTGATGTACTCTTCTTTCCAATACCAAAACTTGCCTCCATTCTACACAATAAAAATTGAAGTTAGCACAACTAGTCTAATCCGAGAGCACAAACCGAAGCTAAAAAGAGCACATACCCCATCATTTAAGCACTTGATGAACACCTATCCGGGATGTTCCGGCGTTGTAGACACATGGCGCACGACCATCCTTGGGCAGTGGTCGCATTTAATGAGGGGCAACGGTGCGCCGACGAGCTTTTGGGCAAGCACCGAGCCCGGTCGGCCGCCATTCGCGCATCTGCCGGCGGGCACCGACGGTGCAGATTCGAGCGGCTAGAGGACGAGCCACTGCCTGCATGTGGCCTTGCGGCCCTGCCAGGGCCTTCCGGCGAGGTGCCCGGCCAGTCCATGGCGCGACCCGGCCTCCCATAGTCGGGCGAGCTCAAGACCGACCGGATCCGCCCCAAATCCGGCCGGCGGGTGCGCAAACCAGGTGGTCGTGGTTGGGTAGCTCGGCGGCGCCAAGAGGAAGGGGTTGGGCGAGCGCGCGTCCAAATTGCACGGCTGCAATGCAGCGGCGGAGGCGGCGGCGAGGAAAAGAGCGGGGAAAATGAAGAAAATAGCGTGCTACAGCAAAATAGCGCCGACCTCAATTGTGAAATAGGGGCTGGGCATATTAACTGTGAAATGCCTTTTCGCAAGCACAAGCTGATTTTGGGGCTGTGGAGAGGGATGGCACTGTTGAAATCCAGTATTCAGTTTCTTTTTTTTTTACTTTTGATCTGCTTTTTGCTTAGTTTTCAGTTTAATTTCATTTAGAATTTGGCATTCATTATATTTTCCTTTAGTCAATTTCAAGTTAGTTTTATTTCTTTAGTTATATTTTTCTTATTTTCAATTATTCAATCACTTTCATTTTTCTCATTTAGTTTTTTCTATCATTTAACTTAATTTTCTTCAGTTAGTCGGTTCAGTATCCCGTTCTTTAGTCTGTTGGTCTGCTAGTCTTCAGTTTCTATTAATATTTCACCCTTTTTCATGTCTTCTCATTAAGTTATTTTCTCATCAGTTTTTCACATGTCTTTCATTTAGTCACTGGTCGTTTGTTCTCGGTTCTTAAGCTTGCATCATTCTTCGTTTGCTTACTGTTTTTCAATAGCTTTCTTTTATGAATGATGTTAGGTAACTTTCAGTTTTTAATCATTGAGAAAAATCAGTACTCAGTTTTTTACTTCAGTATTTGTTATCATTATCTTGATATTGATCATTCTTTTTATGTTAGATAACTAAATTTTAGTCAGTCCAAGTGTGAGTCTAGAGTTTAGTCCCTCGGTCTCTGACCATTCATTCCATCATTACTCAGTTTGTCATTATTGAAAAAATCATTACTCAGTTTTTAGTCTCTAATTCAGTTTCTTATATAGTTCATTTTCTGTTTAATTTATTTCATTCAGTTTTCAGTCAGTCTATGAACATGTGGGTTTCGTTCTTAGTATCAGTCTCCATGTTTTCAGTTTTGTATCAATTTTCAGTAAGGTTTTTTTAAACAGGGAGTGGCATGATTTGCATACTTCTTCAGTCCCATTCCTCATAGGTCTTTGTCATTAGTATTTGATTAGTGTTTTATCAGTTTGTAGTTCCTCATTCTTTCAGTTTTTCAGTTTTTCCAATTCCCTAAGGATCTCATTATTTTTTATGTTTTCTCTGGTTCTCATTTTCATCAGTTTTCTCTTCTTTATTTTCCCTTCCTTTTGTTCATTCTCTCTTTCTTAGTCTTGGTTTCTAGTTTCAATCTTCATTTCTTCTTATGTAGTCTCTCTTTAGTTTTCCAGTCTTGTTTAGTCTGTCTTCAGATTCTCCTCCTATTCTCTTATTTTGATCTTGCAGTCAGTACCTAAAGGCACAATTTTGTTCAGTAAGTCCCTCCTCATTCGCTTAGTTTTTGTTATTTTTCACTCTCTACTTCTTGGTTCTTCTTAGGCATCTCATATTTATGTGTCATGTGCAGCAGCAAGTGGCTCTTCTTAGGCACCTCATATTTTCTGTGCCAATCTCAGTTTTGGGAAATAGTGTCTATCTATCTATTTATTAGTTTCCCATGTGCGAAATGGCACTTTTTCAATGGATATTTGGTCATTTTGTTCTCACTGGAGCACATGTGTTCATTTTCCATAGACCAGAGGGGAGATCAGTGGGCATTTGCTCATTCTGTTCTCAATGGAACATTAAGAAACACATGCCGCTTCACACATCTTTTCCTTGTTCAGTCAAGTGTTGTTTTCATTTAGCAAATCATTTTTTCTCCAGGATCTTGTTTGGAAAATAACGATTTTATATTTAGTGTACTGACCCATGAATTCAACGGGATCAATGCGTTTTGAAGTTCACGCTGAGAAAGAAATAACCAATCCCCTTTTCTTGGGAGGCCCACATGTATTCATGGATTTCTAAGGGATTGGAGGATTTGTTCTCCTC